AGTGTACTTGACTGGCTTCGTGATTACTTGCAAAAATGCAAACGAGTTCTTTATGGTGATCATATATCTTCTGAACTAGTGAATAATAGAGGAGTACCTCAAGGCAGTGTACTGCTCTTTATCTTATATAAGAACGATATCGAACTATTCATAAAATGCTTTATTGCAGATGATACTTTTATCAAAAAATGAATGATGTCTTATAAACTCAAAGTAAATATTTATCAATTAATAAATTAAAACTAAATGTTCCTATATTCCTATATTTACCTCTAAATACAAATATAATTTACTGATTATAAATAATATAAATTTATCTATTAAGGGGGCGTCCATTAATTACGTGAGGTATTTTTGAGGATTTTTTGACCCCCTCTCCACCCCTGGTGAGATTTCGTAAGATTTTCCTCAACTCCCTCCCCCTTCCCCTAATCTCTCGTGAGATTTTTCAAAATTTGTGTTTTGGGTGTAAATGCGTTGGATTATTAAAAAAAAACAAACACAATATTATGTTTTATTACTTTTATTTAAGACTAAAAATTTCTAGAAACATTCTTTACTTTAATTTAATTTTCACGCAATTTTACACCGTTTTCTACTAGAAAAAAAATACGTCATATTTACAAAGACCCCCCCTCTCCCCCAAGTGAGATTTGGAAAGATTTAGCTTGATCCCCTCCCCCCCCCCTGAACACCTCACGTAATTAATGGACGCCCCCTAACAATCAAAGAATAGAAATTGTTACATGAGTAAAGTACTTGGGGTTTTACTTAGATAATTCATTAAACTTTGAAGGTCACTTTGATTATATTTACAAAAACAATATTAAAAAACCTTTATTTTTTTTAGTAGAATAGCCCAAAATTTATCAGTTAACACAAGGATAACTGTTTATAATAGGATCATTCAACCTCACTTTGATTACTGTGCATCTATTCTATACTTACTAAAACTCAATAAACTGGAACATGCTTCAAAAACTTCAGAAACGTGGTATGAGGATAATTTTAGGAAGATTTACTCCTATAAGAAATATGTTATATTCTCTTAAATGGTTTTCAGTAAAAGATAGGTCATTTTAATTTTCCATGATTTTGGTTTATAAAATTGTAAATCAGATAGCTCCAGAATATTTGCAACAATACATCACTTTCAACAAAGATGTCCATTCACACAGAACAAGAAATATTAATAACATATATATTTCACGAACTTGTGATAAAAGTACTATGGATTCATTATTTTTTAAAGATTTCTCAGATTTTAATCACTTACCCATATTTGTAAAAAAATCATATTATCTCAAGACCAAATAATTTCTGATGAGTAACAGATAGAGGTGGCTGATAACGAAAACAATAGTTTTGTGTAGTAATGTTTTTTTTAAATGTAATTTCTTTTTTTTTATACTTTTGAATTCGATAGTTTTGTGTTGTATTTAAAATTATTAATTCCTGTTTAAATAATGCCAGCCATTTAGTTATAGAAAAGTTTTAGCAATTGTATATTGTATTTCCTTTTTTTTTTTTTCATGCTTTGTAATTTATATTTTATATGTATATTAGAGGTTCCTAATTAATAAATAAATCTATCTATTAGCATAGTAAGAATATAACTTCTGATCATTGTTTTGTTTCATTTCATACTAGATAATTTTTATATGTAAAACAGTCTGATAGAGCTACATAAACAACTAATAATTACCAACACGCATTTAACGAAATACTAGGTATACCTAAAATATTGTAGAAAGTCTTGGAACGAATTCAGTTTTGCTCATATTATAATCATACCTCTTTTTAACTAACCAAATCTTGTTCTATGCCTACTTAAATGTAGAAATAATTCTACTAACTCTGACTTGAATGAATGACTGTGAAGACATACTCTAATTAAAAGGCACTTTCTGATTTTTATATACAGTAGAGATGCCAGATTTTCACTTTACTTATAAATATAATTCTAGTTTTGTAGATTTAGGGCCAATTTTTACTTTCCTATCTGTATACAGATATAAGGAAAGTATAGGAATCATGATTTTTTTCGACCTCGAGTTTTCGACGGATTTTTACGTTTTGAGGTCCCCTGAATCCGTTTTGACTATTTTCGCGATGATGTCTGTCTGTCTGTGTGTGTGTGTGTGTGTGTGTGTGTCTGTGTGTGTGTCTGTATAACGCATAACTCATGAACCGATACACAAAAAAACACCAAATTTTAAACTTAAGCTTTGTTTCAGCGTCCAATGAGCTGATTAGATTTTGGGCAGAGTCGGAACATCTGGGGGGGTACTTTATAGGTGGTCATTTTTATATTTTATGGAATATATCTGTTATTTACGTTTGGAGAAGAAAATTCTTCAAATAAAAGTTACTTCTAATATAATTATCTATAATTTTTGTTTTATGCAAAATTTGCCTAAAATGGTCCGTATTCGAGAAATTTAACAAAATGTAAAAAAAATAATTTTTTATAAAAATTGTTCAAATAAAAGTTGTTTGTAATATAATTCTCTATAATTTTTGTCCTATACATAATTTCTCTAAAATGGACCGTATTCGAGATATTTGAGAAAATGTGTAAATTTCGAAATTTGAAGAAAACTCAAAAACGGATAAAGGAAAAAACATTAAATTTTAAACTTAAGGTTTATTTCGGCCTGACGTGAAATGATTAGATTTTGGACAAAGTCGGAACATCTGGGGGGGTACTTTATGGGAGGCCGTTTTTATATTTTATGGAATATATCTGTTATTTATGTTTGGAGAAGAAAATTGTTCAAATAAAAGTTACTTCTAATATTTTTATCTATAATTTTTGCTTTATGTCAAAATTTCCTGAAATGGTCCGTATTCGAGAAATTTGACAAAATGTGCAAAATTCTGATTTTTATGAAAGTTTTTGAAATAAAAGTTGTTTGCGATATCGATCTCTATAATTTTTGTTTATACATGATTTTTCTAAAATGGACCGTAATGAAAAAATTGTAGGAAATTTAAATTTTTCAGTATTTTCATTATCAATGAATATCTATAGAAAAATGTTTCGCGGTAGATGTATGTGGACAATGTATATATTTAGTTTATCCTCTAAACATTTATAGAGATGCTGCAATAGGTTGTACACAATAAACGGAAAAAGCCTGTAATAACTAGATAGGAAAGTCATGTGTTGGACACATCAGATTTTTTTCACCTCTGAGTAAAGTTGAAAGTAACTACTTGCTGATTAAACTATAGGGCTATTGTTCGTTAATCTGTCAAGTAAACCTACACGTAACTTTACTGAGGTAAAAAGATCGGCCCTTAGTAGGTTTATTTTAGTTAAATTAAAACCTTTACAGTTTTTGCAGAATTACTTTATTAAAAACTATTATTTTCACGGAGCACACTTTGAGAAACACTGTTCTAGAGAATCCCACTACTAGATATTACTGTACATGTAAGACTGGTTCAACAATTATAGACATGTGTGTTCATATTTCAAGTGTTTTGTGGTACCTCGAAAATTATGTAAAGTTCCCTTCAAGGGTTTTATTAGGGACTATTTTAGATGCTGCTGAAAGATGAGTCGGATTTTTATGGTGTGTAAATAGTAGTATAATTTTTGAAAAGTCTAAAAATCTTTGTAAAGAAACTCATATTTTGCATTAGATATTATTTATGTCTTTCTGTCACACCCTGTATAATATATAAATATTATCTTGTATTTAATATAACAAATAACTGATTAGAAGTCGTTCTAATTATGGAAATACATGAAAATGCACCTTATTTCAGTAATTAATATTCCTATTTTTTTTTAACACTCTGTATGATGTATTTTACAAAGTGGAAGTAAGTATTAACAAACTATTTACAAGTGTAACACATACCATAAGTTTCATGAAAAAAACAACATGAATTACTTACTTAATACTACTAGAGATATATATAGCAATAGTTTTTTTGCCCTCCTTACTTTTGACTCCATCTAATAGATCACCCTGTAAAACTGCAAGCTTGAGGTCCATAAGAAAGTTGCCCATAATGACCTAAAAAGTAACATACTAAAATTTGAACAAATTCTGACAGTACCCAAAAACAATATAAAACGTGTGGGGTACCTTTCTTTATACACCTATATCTGTATTTTACTGTTTTACTGGCCCAGTCATAGCACCATCTGAAAACGGCTCAATATGCATGCTCAGTAGTGCAGCAATGAGGAGCATGTTGATGCCAAAAGTGGATTATATTGGCAATATACTGGTTTAAAGTAAGATTATTTTTCAACTGCCTATTGTACAACCCAAACCACTGTGAGCTAAACTAAGTTTATATCATTCTTTATACATACAACTCACCCTAACGGCGGATTCTACAATAGACAGTTAAAATGTAATCCTAAACTGTGAACCTCTTATAATTATTGGTTATTGTTAAACAGTTTTAAAAATGATATTTGTATGTTGAATATAATTAGTTAAAAATTAAACTCCTGTTAGCTAAACTTAGTGTATGCAGTTAAAATGTAAACTAAGTTTAAACTGTGAATCTAGTTGTATAATCATCAGTTATTGTTAAATATAGTTTTAAAAATGACATTTCTACTTCCTACCCACTGATAATGGATTGTAGAGGAAAGGAGGATAATTTCATATGGATGTTTAATATGTTTATCTCAAAAAATATCCTCCAAAAAGTATTAAGTAGCCAGAATGGCGCTCGTGTACTATAAAGTGTGATTCAATGAGACAGTCATATAGATTCCTTATCCATATGTAAATTAGAAGACGAAAAGCATTATTGTCATCTATTATCAAAATTTCTGTACGATTATAAGCTCAGTCATTTTTAGTGTTTCTGTATCTTTTTTTATAATTTATGTAATTACATTACTTAGTTGTTTGTAAATTTTTAAAATGTTAAGATGACTTTGTAAGACTTGAAAATTTTATATCATTGAAATATGACCTGGGGAACCAATAAATATTATTATTAATGAAAATTGTAGTTCATACGTTTTCAGTATATAAATGAGTGTACATCACAAATTGTTCATTGATGAAGGATTCGCTTAAATTAGTTTGTTTAGGTGTGTTAATCGAACTCAATCGCTTTTGTATTTGGAACTGATTTCTTCTATCGGCTCGTTCTGCATCGTCGTCTGAAGCTTCTATTATTGAATTGTTTAGAACCGAAACATTCATGGATTTCCTCAGTGGTGAAGCAGTATTCTGGGCATTATTTAATAATGTTCTTCTTCTTAATTCAGAAGGCAGTGGAGTTGAAGTTTCCATCATTTTACACAAATGCTAAAATATTTAAAAATAGTTCTCAAACCAAGCTTGATATACTATAAACATTCAAAAACTGTTTTCGTTAAACACAAACCTTTTGTACTATTTGTTAAAGTAATATAATAAAAAAGTTTTAAAAAAAAAACAAATAACTAAAAAATAACCGTTCTCTACAAACACAAACGCAAAACATTTATATTTTTAAATGGTAAATGACAAGTGACACTGACATCTGTTACAACCGACATTTTAACTTTAGGCACATTTTAATTATTCAGAAATAAATAATTCAGAAATGGCTCGCGATTTTTACTAATATATCAGTTTATTCGTTAAAATACATGTTCTTTTTTATTTTGCTTGATTAATTATTAATTGTTTCCATATTGTTGATGTGAAATAAAATGAGATAAATGTGTGAAATGTTTAAATATGAATGATCAATATGATTGAAAAACTAAAATGTAAAAGGCGAATTATACCAAATCGCTAAGTTGGTAGAACTGTGTGGTTTTTTACATTCAAAATATTGTTTTATATATTTAACTAATAACGGTTTTATTTGTATTCCACAGACCTTTTATTTTGTATTCTGTTTTATTTTATAATGGATAGTGATCCAGATTTCGTAAATGTTGCAATTCGAATAAAGCCAGTCTCAAATACAGAACAGCACTGTTTAAGAGTACTTAGTAATGAACCACCAGTAAGAAAACAATTTAAAAACTTGTTTTTTTTTTTTATAATTTTTTTTTTAGGTTTTATTACTAGTTGATCGATCTCAAACGTTTGTGTTTGATAAAATATTTACAGAAGAAATAAGCCAAGAAACGATCTATAACGATTCAGTAAAACCATTTGTTGAATATGTTAAGCAAGGTTTCAACTGCACTGTTTTTGCTTATGGACAGTCCGGCACTGGAAAAACATATACCATGGGCACTAACGATAATGTAATATGCATGTATATTTTTTTTTATTACCCTCTAATAAAAATACAAATTAGAATATTTTTATTGCTAATCATTGAATAAGGTCAAGCAATAAGTTTAATCCTTTTTAGGTGTCGAGTGAAGAGGATTTTGGGTTGATTCCAAGAGCCCTGAACCATTTTTTCGAGTATAATAATGACGACCACAATGAAATTGAAATATCTGTGTCTTTTATTGAAATATACAATGAAAAAGTATTCGACCTGCTCCAGAGTGATAACCCACAATTACAAGTTAAAGGTTGTACATTCTGTTTTTAGATAATTCTGAACAAACGTGATTGTCCATTTTTAGGTTTAAAGGCACAAGGTTTCAGTCAAGAAAAAGTATTTAATTCCTATGAAGCTAAACACTTTTTGAAAATGGGTAACAAAAATAGGCATACAGCTGGTACAAATCAAAACCTCCAGAGTTCTAGGTCTCATGCAGTTTTTACTATTTACTGCAATGTTAAAAACAAGTGAGTTAGTTAACTTTCTTAATTTTATGATTTTTATTTTGTTGACATGTATTTGGTGTTAATGGCTGCACTGTAAACATTGTCCCTGTGAGCTCTTAAGAATTTAAAAAAATTAAAGTGGTAAATATATCAGTTAAATTGAAAACTTGGTGTGGTGTTGAATAAACTATAAAGAATCTGTTTGTGATATAAAAATTGTAAGAAAAACATAACATAATCAATAAAACTGCACTTTTATCGGCTGTGTACATTCCTAACAGTTTTGCCAGATAAAATTTAAATTCGATCTTTAGAAATGAGCCAAAAAAGTATGAACATTTCGGGGCTGGAAGAAACAATGGTGGAATCAATATTTAATAAGTTAGCACCTAAATTCACAGCCAAACTTGAAGAATACATGGAAAAACTGAGCAACAAAATGGATACAATGGAACAGAATATAAAAGAAATGATCTCAAAACTGACTTTATTAGAAAATAAAGTTGATAATAATAACACAAAAATCGAGGAACTAGACAGAAAACAGCAGTTAAGTGAATCAGAACTTACTAACATATCACGTGGTTTTGGAGAGCTAAAAGATCATGTTGAATTTAATAATAGAAATATCGATGATATAGTAAGAAAACAAGAAAAAGAAGAACAAAGGTCAGTAGAAAATAAACTAAGAATTATAGGGATCAAAGATGAAGAAAATGACATAATGACAAAAATATTGACATTATTTAACCAAGGTCTGAATATTAAATGTGCACTGTTTGAAATTGATAACGTATTCAGAGTTGGGAAAAGAGATTCTTTGAATCACTTATCAAAGCCTAGGACTGTTGTTGTACATTTTGTGTCCTCATTAAAATGAAATCTACCGTAAACATTCATCACTTAAAGGATCCAATGTCTTTATCAACCAAGAATTGACACCCAGGTTACATAAATTATTCCTAACTGCCAAGAATAAATATGGGCACAAGGCTGTCTGGACAAGGAACTCCAGAATATATTGCAAGAGTGGCAATGCTGTCCAAGTTGTTCATAAAGAAACGGACTTACCTTGAAATTGAGGTTCAGAGAAAAAATTATCAGTGTTCTTTTTTTTTGCAATTTTGTTTACATTATAAGAAAAAAAATAAAAAAATATTGGTTTTAATTTTGAAATAGATATGGTATATTTAATTAGCAATCCTCAACTTATAAATTTGTTATTGACATTCAATTAATTTGCATTTTATTTGGGATTCTGCTAATAAATTTTGAAAAACTGAATGCTGATAATAATTATTCTAGGATTATTGGATTTAATTTTTGTTAAATAAAAGCTAAATCATAAACAATGATTAACCTTAGCTAAGATCTATTTTATTTATTTGTGGTCCTTGATGATATCCAAGGATATCACTAAATTGATAATACTTATTTGATTTAGGATTTTACCAATACACTTTAAAAATTGTATTCTGAATGCTGATAATTAAGCTAGAACTATTAGGTTTCTTTTTGTTTTAGTCATTGTTTATGATTTATGACTAAGTTCTATTTTTTCTATCTGTTTTAAAGGATTTTTTTTATAGTAAACTGGTAAATTTAACTTCAATAATGATACTTAGTTAATTTAAGGTACCACTATTTTGTTTAATCTTTGGTAATGAATATGAGCTTACAACATGAATATTGTTTATGCTACACTCTCTACATATCTATTTTCAGAACTGTAGGGGACTCAAGCGTAAGTATAATGATTTTTTTAGATCTTGTCTTAATGAAGACTATGATATTATTATTACCGCCGAAACATGGTTACAGGAGTCAGTGCATGATGGTGAAATCATAGACAATAGCTTATATAATTTAGTAAGGGCAGATAGGAATTTGGTAATAACAAATAAGAGAACAGGTGGTGGAGTATTTATCGCAGTTAAGAAAAATATTAAACTCTTAAACATAGTAAAGCATAGTTCTATTTTTGAGGCAGTCATTGTAGAAGTTCAGATTAATTTTGTGAAATACAAATTATGTGCAATATACATTCCATCAGGTAGTGCATTTAAAATATATGAAACTGCTTTAGAATTTTTACAGAATAATTTAGTGAATTTTGACATGAAAAAAAGTATATATTATGGGGGATTTTAACATCAATAGTATTTCAGGTATAAACTATGATCATTCAATTAATAATATTATTTTAAATCATTTTCAAAATTTTGTAAATTTTAATGGATTGAAGTTATTCAATGACAAAAAACTTTCAAGGAAGAACGCTAGATTTAGTTATAGGTTCAGAAAATAATTTTAATAATTGTCTAGTTCAAAGAGATTCACTTCCCTTCATCAGTGAAGATTTGTACCATCCATCTTTAAATATTAGGATTCCCCAACATAAATATGTGCAAAAGAAGAAATTTCAAATCTCTGTTACAATTTTAAAAATAGCTGACTTTAATAGACAAGAGTGAGAGATGCAGATTGGAGCAAAGTGCTTGATGAGGTATCCAGTGTGAATGTCGCTGTAGACAAATTTTACATTAAATGGTATGAGATTCTGGATGAGTGTGTACCTAAATACAATTTAAAACGCGGTTCATACAATCCTAAACCTTGGTTTTCAAAGGAAATTAAAGACCTACTCAAAGATAAAGAAAAATATAGAAGGCTGAGAAGTACATCATTTTTTTATGAAAATAAGTATAACGAAATGAGGAAGAAAATAAAAAATTTGATTAGAGAAGAAGAAAGAAAATTTATCAATGATATTGAAGATGGGATAGGTACAGATATAAATATATTTTGGAATTATTTAAATAATAAAAAAGTAGTAATTTCACTAGTAACCATTACTTATTTAAAGGGAAAACAATTAAGTCTAATGAAACTGCAAATGCATTCGCAGAATTCTTTGCATCAGTATATTCAACTAATAAACCTTCTTATAAGGTAGCTTGTGATTCTGAAAATTTTACAAATAATGCTTTATATTTAAAATTAATAACGGATTTAGAATACGAAGAAGCAATTAAAAAACTGAAACCAAAAAAAGCATTGGGACCAGACGGCATGCCTTCATATGTTTTGAAGGCCTGTAATGAGTGGTTAAAAAGACCTTTACTTCATTTCTTCAACTTAAGTATTGCAACAAATGAATTTCCTCACTTATGGAAAACTGCACTAGTTTCACAGCTTATACAATACAGCTAAAACACTCTCTTGGCGGCAACGGTTTGCGTCGATTTCGTCGCGCATCGCTTAAGCTCCGCCTTCGAAGGGAAAAGACGGTTTTGGCGTTCAGAAGCGTACTTAGGCAAGGTGTTGAGTCGTGCGTATAATTTCGTTGATTGTATAATTTCGTGGAGCCTATAATTTCGTTGATTTTGTTTGAGTTAAAGGTACTGTTATTATTTTGGTGACTCTTTAGCTGTGAGTAGAATGAGTTTGTGCAGTCAAAAGCTGTTTTAATAAGGGTTATACCTGCAAGAAAACATTCTTTAGTTTTCCCAAGGACCCAAACCGATAAGTACTACATTATAAGAAATTTTCATTGTTAAAAATATAATTTATACAGGGTGTCTCATTAGTGCGTTATTGTTCATTATTTTGTTGTAGACACGCAAGAAAGTTTTAAATAAAAGTTATATGGATTTGAAAAATACCTACATATTTTAAAAATATCTTTGGATATACAGGGTGTCACGTTTTTGCCTGGAAAATTAAAATGTATGTTTTTTAAATGGAACACCTTGTATTTTATTTTATGATGAAATTATTAACACCCTAAATTATTGTAAAGACGAATTGCTACAGAAAAATTTTATCAGGTATGTGTGTGGTTACCTTTTAAAAAAAGCCTTGCGGATCCACTCCTGCGATACCTGTCTTAAATATAACAAAGATCACGTTGAATTAGACGATTTTTCTTTTTATTGCTTTTAAAAGGCATATGATAACGCCAATTCAGATACATTTGGAAATCTGCAACTGTCAAATGATGAATTTGTAGAACTAATATTCAATATTGAAAAGATATTTTAAAATAATTTTGAAGAATTGGCTACAAAAAATAACATTTGTACCACACTTTTAGAATTAATTAACCCAATACCCTTTAGTCATCCATGCTAACGTTTTCCAAAAGAATAACTTATTTTATTGTATGTTTAATCTCAATAACTAAAAAATATACTGACAATTAGTTTGACAGAATTGTCATTTATTTAAAATTTTAAAAATAATAGCAGTCGGTTGATCAAAATATGAACGGTGCTTGGCGAATTTATTTTTTTTTTCCAGTGTTCTCACTACCTAGAATGGATATGAAATATATTCGTTCAATTGAAGGCAATAGCATACTTTTTCGTTTTGTAATCTGTGCATGGATATTAGCCAATCTACGCACATACTACAAAACGAAAAATTATGTTATTGCGTTCAACTACGAATATATTTCATATCCATTTTAGGTAGTGAGAACACTTTAACAAAATTAAATCTACAAATCACAGTTCATATTTTGGTCACCCAACTCCTATTATTTAAAAATTTTTAAATAAGTGATAATTCTGTTAAACTAATTGTCAATATATATTTTAGTTATTGATATTAAATATACATTAAAATTTTTGTGTAGACTCGATAAATAATAACATTTTTGTTTTTATTATGTCCACATTTAAAAAAAAATAAATTTTAATCAAACTACATAATACTAATTTAATTACGAGTATTAAAACTAAAGTCCTGAAAGTTTCGGTGAAGATGAGGACAGAACATCTGCCTTCCATGCGAAAAGCCCGGGATCGAATCTAGGCCGAGGACTAATTAATTTTTCATGTTTATTTTATTTTATAAATTAGTCAACTTCGTAAATTATTTTAAAATTAGTTATTTTGTCTAAATAACCTAAAATAATTTTTTAAATTTGTAGATTTTCGTTAGTGGGTCGTAGAAAAAATATACTGACCATATCGAGTGGATTGTTCATATCACAATCAGACGATTGAGTACTCCGCCTACGACGTCGTGCTCAAACTTCGTCTTTGTGTGATATGGCTATCATATCCACCCTTGTTGAACAAACTACAATTTATTTGTTTTCTTGGTTTAAGTTTTACATCAGAAATAAGAACTAAATTAATTTACTTTTCAAGTTTTCTTGTAAAAATCGATATTACTTTCTCCAAGTACAAATTTAGTACCTACCTAAAATAAGTACTAATTATGTAATATCGTGTAATATTGTAATTCAAATTTCACATTACTATAAAGTTTCAAAATTCCCTACTTCGGTATGGTCAGATAAAAATTGAATATATTATATTAATAAAAACTGTTAAAGTATTACTTCTACAAATCTGTATTTCAATTAATAAGAATACATCTAAATATAACCAATATTGTTAAAATAAAAGCACAAATTCTTTATAATTCCAAAATACCATAGAGTTCCCAGACCTCAGTCGAAGCATTCGTTTATCTAGGTATAAACCCTTTGCGCGAAGAGTAACACTTGCCAGAGACACGGGGTACCACTTGATTTGCATCCACGAGCGTGACACATTTCTTTAACAATTGAAGCCCTTGGTGTAAAAAGGATCCAAGTCACAATTTGTCGTGAAGTGACTGTTTTAGCTCAAAACATTTGTTAACGAGGATTTTACTAGCCACATACAAATTATTTTACCTCTAATCCGAAAGATGTGCTATTTTTCGTAATATTTATATTTAAATAATTTTTTTAATTATATTTGACAGATTTAAAACAAATTAAAAATTTAATTTCCCAAAACTTACTTAACATGGCATGTAACCAACCTTATTACGTCAAGGTTTTCAATTTTTTCAATAATAAAAAAATTGCTTAATCCGGGCCCGACTTTTCCCTTTAATCTAACAGAGATAGCACCATTCCGTCTTGCTTGGTTCTCGACCGCCAGATCAAAGACGCCGACACGGAGTTGTGGAGCTGTATTGTATAAGCTGTGCTAGTTTCTCCTATATTTAAATCTGGAAATAAAATTGAAATCGAAAACTTTAGGCCCATATCACTTTTATCCGCCCCTGTTAAATTATATAAACATATACTGTATGCAAGATTATATCAACATGTTGAGAGCAGTCTGGTATCCCAGCAGCATGGTTTTGTCTCAAATGTGTAAGTACAAATTTGTTTAGTTTTGTAACTACACTTATGAAGCACTTGAAAACAAAATCCAACTTGATATAATTTTCACAGACTTTAAAAAAGCATTTGATAAGGTAAATTATGATGTCCTGCTTTTAAAACTGAGTAAATTTGGTTTGACAAATAGTACTCTTACACTATTTAAAAGCTACCTAGAAAATAGATATTCAATTGTTAAGCATAATGGGAACACATTGGGAAAATTTATAGCATATAGTGGAGTGCCACGGGGCTCCAATTTGGGACCCCTCCTTTTTTTAATTTTTATCAATGATTTACCATCTATGCTGAGGTTAACAGACTGTCTTCTATTTGCCGATGATCTTAAAATTAAAAAAAAAATACAAACTGTTAGGGATTGTGTAAGTTTACAAAAAGATATAAACAACATAAATGAATGGTGTTATAAAAATAAATTAAATTTCAATATAAAAAAATGTAGTAGTATGACAATAAGTAGATTGAAAAATCCTGTAATCTTCGATTATCTTATAAATGGGGAAGTACTCGAAAGACGTACAGAGGTAAAAGACTTAGGTATAACCTACGATTGTGTTCTATCTTTTATTAATCATGTAAAAAATATAGTTAAGGCTGCAAATAGAATGCTGGGGTTCATAATTAGGCAAACTAGAAATTTGACTAACATAGAATCTATAAAAATTCTTTATTATGCTCTAGTTAGATAAAAACTTGAATTTGGAGCTGAGGTATGGATGGAGGAACATCCAACTAATCTATATGAGATTGAAAAAATACAGAATAAAATTCTTAGATATCTTTATTTCAAAACACTCCATATATACCCAGACTACAATATTGTTAGAACTGCAAACTTAAGAAAAGAATTTAAAATACCTTTCCTTCACACCAGAAGGAATATGATAATGTTGACTTTTTTATATAAATTATTAACTATAAAATTAACTCACCTGAGCTACTATACTTAATATGATTTAATGTACCTCCAAGAAGAATGAGACATCCATGTATGTTTAATATTCCTTTAGTTCTTACCACTACCAGGTCGCCTCTTGTGACCATGCTCCGATTGGCAAATAATATTAACACTTGTTAGTATTAATATTATTATTATTTATGTATTATGATACTTTTATCCATGTAATAAGGCCGTTGGCCTGTTTGGATACAAATAAATAAATTTCTGTTGTTTATTATTTAATCTACTTTATAATAAAATATAGTTTATTCTAGGTCTGTTCAAATGACGACCAAAAACAAATTACTGCCCATTATATAATTTGGTGGTTCCAATAATCTACTATGTAGAATCCTGTTGTCAATGAATCAATTTTGATCGTACATACCTTCTGAAACCTTTTATTTTACATGCAGCAACATAAAATATTTATTAACCAAAACATAAACCAACTTGTAGATGACTTATTGCTATTACTTCAACAATTTCATAGCTGTTGATTTATTTTAGAGATCGACAGACAAGTGCCAAGTTAAATTTAGTAGATTTAGCAGGCTGTGAAAGTGTTCGCAAAACTGGAACCTTTGGTAGTACCTTTCAGGAAGGCATAAACATCAACCGAGGCCTCCTGTGTATTGGCCAAGTTATGAGTGCGTTGTCCAGCAATGCTAATTTTATTCCTTATAGACAATCCATTATTACATCTATTTTACAAGGTAAGACAACTTAAAATTCCAAATCAAATGGTTTTTATTATCAGAGTGTATTTTTATCATTGCAGATTCATTAAATAAACAAAATTTCGTCTCGCTAATAGCTTGTATTAGTCCACTTGCTGATGACTTCACAGAAACTTTTCAAACTCTGGAGTTTGCTCACCGTGTTAAAAAATTCAAGAGCAAACCTGAAGTTAATGAAGTTATATCACAATATAAGTCAGATAATCCCAATTTGTTCCAAACCAGGGTAACTACTCCTTTTAAAAGACCACCCCCGATGCAGACACCAAGACCTACAAAGAGAGTGAAACAATTAGGAACAATAGCTGAGCCTAATCTGTCAAGTAACACTGCAGACCATAGTCACAGGTAAGATTTTTCAGAGATTATTCAATAATTTTTATTTTGCTTTTATTTATTCCACAAAATATAATATGTACAAGATGCTACAAGAAAAGAAAGGTAACTAATAAGAAGCTATAAAAAAAGTCTTATTTCCTAAAAAATCCTCATAATATTTGGTTTTCCAAGCCATAATTGCATATCTGATTTTCTAGAAGCAGAGGTTGGATACATATTGTTAACTAATTTTAAAACAAAGTTTTCATTTTTATAATATTTATATATGTTCATTTGACAGCCAAAACATCATATTTGTCCTATCCAAAGCATTTGATCACATTTGACCACAATTCTGAGTAAGAAGGTTATCCATATCTGAAAATGTAGTATATTCGTAAAGGAAAGGGAAAATCTCAAAGTCTTAACCACAACAAATTTTATTAAAAAAGGAAGCAATAAGCGACTAGTTTCGGTCAATCACCATCATCAGGCCTGTAAGAGATAATATCTATTTTTCGGTACGCCACTGTGCTCTGGCTAATCGCGTTTCCGTGGCGCACTTTTATTAGTGAGCCCAAGGGATTGAGAAGTGTTTGCAAAAGTCTTTAGCTAAAAAGAGACGTCCACACGTCAACAGATCCATGAAACATAGGAAGCAAACAATATGCCTGGATAAAATCACAAATCAATTTGTGCAACGCACACAGTGACATCACAAAGTGAGGCTGGGCATACGAACTTTCCAATCATTGATATAAAATAAAGATGATGCTATGACGATACTTAAAAGTGTCTGCACTTTTACAACATATGTCAAACTCGAGCTAGTCAGTTTTGGTGAGAATAAATTTTTTTTTTTATATAATAGCGTGATTTAAATGATATAAAAAAATATTCTCATTCCGTCAATCTTTAAATATAAAATCGTCGGCCAAATGCAAAAACTAGGTATCTTTTTTTGTTGTTTCGAGAAAATCAATATAGTATTATTGGTGACATATTAGATTATGTCTGGAGAAAGCTTATTTAAAAAAAATTAGTAATTTTTAATATTTATTTTTATTACCTCTGCCTGTCTCTCTTAACTCAATCTTCTTATATGCACCTGAACGCCACTCAAATGTTCGAGAGTGGTCCAATAAAAATCGTGATCTCCAATGTTTCAGTAACTTCAGTGTGGCCTTTTATCCATCGTTGGTGTAGGAATCACTCGCTTGTGCATATTTCTATTTTTTTTGCCTCAGGCCAGCCTTACATTAATTGTTCGATTGTGGAATACGAAAAGCTTCTGTGGTCTAGTGGTTATGACATTGAGAGCAGTTTTTGTCAAATGTTAGTTGATTTGTTGCTTGTGTTCTCTGTTGTGGACAGTGAGATTTTCTGCTGTTTCAAATAGATGTCTTCTGTGAGCAAGCCTTTATAGTTTTTCATCATTTACAGTTCAAGTGTGGCATCTTCAATATCGAGCACTTTACGGTCATCAGTGGGTTGTTCTGATGTGACTCAGCAGGCTTTAAGTCCAGTTATAAAGAAATACATGAACGCTATGGAAGCTTCACTTATGGACAAATTAGAGCTGGTTATTAAGAGTACAATAAAAAGACCTAGCAGAGGAACGGTTTTGTTAGATGTATCTAAGGCAAAGACAGACGAATTTGGAACACCAAGGTAAGTAACAGTGGTTAAAAAAAAGTTATTTGAGTAATATTTTTGAATTTTTTAGTTTACCTTGGAGCAAAATTCAACATGAGGTGTCAAAAATTGTGAAATCGGAAATTGCCCAGTTGACTTTAGCAAAAAGTGTAAGAGCGACCAGTAGTCCGATTGGTGAACAACCTTTGGAAAATATAAAAAAAATTTTGGTGAGTTATAATTTAATCAATTAAAAAAAACTTGGAAAAATACGACTATTTAAATAATTCCATTCCACCAAAGTTTTACAAGCAAGTTCATAATTTTTTTTCGATTTTGGCATATTTTTTAACGATCATTCTTTATAATTAGAACTATGACGATAGCTCATTGAGTGTGCACCTTGACGAAGATAATGCTACTGATAATAATGAACATTTCAAATTCCCTAAAATACCCCTACAAAAGAATATATCAAAGAAAAAAAGCACACCTGAATTTTCTCCAATTGAAAACATACCGTTAGTTCCGAGAAGAAGTACAAGACTTTCAATGAGAAGGATGAGCCAGAATATATCAACCACTTTAAAAGATTTTGAATTGACATTTGAATCAACATACTTTATCAATCAGGGGATTAAAAATCTCGAAAGGACCCTCAGCGAAAACAAAGAAAATTCTGAAGAATATTTTGAGTACGGAAATAAGAGAATGAGTATTTTATTAAAAGATAGAAGGCAAGTTAATACTAAGAATAGCAACATCGGGGCAAGAGCAAATAAAAAGTTATGCATTCTAGATACACCGGCAGGAAAACGGCTGCTTCCAAGAAATAAGTAAGATATTTTTTTGGTAATAATTTGTAATTGTCTTGTTGTTTGTTTGGTATTGAATGTTTTTAATTCCCATTGCAGCTCGGCCATTAACCTGTGGTGTTCCATTTTTTAGGGGGCTTCTTACTTCATTTTATTTAATCCTAAATTCCATATGAATTTAAGAATTCTTTGAACTAGACCATTGGCAATTTCAAAGCAGTTTGGGATTGGTTATTTGGATTGATCTTAAAGCTTTTAATGTTGTTTGTCTATACATATAGTTGAATTGTGTACCTATGTTTTCTTCACATAGCAGTTTTGCCTAAGTTTAGACTGACATCCTTTCTTGGTCTAACTCCATATATATTGTTGCTCCAGTTCCTCTGTTATATTTTGAGTCGGCTGTTTAGTTTTTGTTTTATATCTTCCAAATTTCACGTTCATAGGTCAACAGGTTTGAGCTATGTGTTGAGTCAGTCAATCAGTTTATATATATAGAAACCCCCTGTATATCTAATTTTCTAAAAAGGGAGTGGTTAGGCTCTAAAAATTTACAATTCTATTAATATACCAAATTTTAATAAAAAAAAAAAAATAATATTTAAATTCTTTAATCTTCTGCGCTTGTCGTCTCTATCGCCTCTATATGTTTCCTTGTCTACCTGTATTCATTCTGTGTGTGCTGCTTATATCTGCCTGTCCAGCTTGTCTATATCTGTTTCTAGCTGTCTTTACTTGTCTTCCTTAAATGTTTATCCCTGGTACCTACTTATCTCCTACTCTTTCTCTATCACTGGTTCTATATAATATTTCTAACTTTCTAAATAAAACGTTCTTTACCTTTTTGTATTTCTTTTAAAATTTTATTCTTCATACAAAATACCATAGATATAGAATAATACATAGCTGATTGCGAACCTCAATATATCCTTCTTGCCATTAAAAGGGCGTAGTCTTTATACTTCTCACGTCCAAATAAGCATCTTATATTTATTTGGCTTGCTACGTTGGTTAACGTACTATGAATGGTAGCGGCTTGAACATTTCGACGACTTTAAACTTATAAACAAGTATTTTGTAGCAACGACAGTCCTTGCACATCCCATACCAAAGGCGTCTTGAAAACCTTAAATTCTGGTGCCTTAAGGGAGATTCAAAGGTTGCATACAGTTGGACCAAAGTCGGCAGAACAAATAAATCTGTTTAAGTAATGCAACTAAGTTTGTTTTTTTTATATTATTTGTTATCGCTTTTTTATGTTTTAGAAATTTAAATGGAAATCTGAATAAAATATCGGATTTAAAAAAAATACCAGGATGGGGCAACAAAAAATTTGAAAGGTTTGTTAACCAAAATTTGCTGAAGAAGGAATTAATTTAATTATAAGTAAATTTTATACAGTTAGTACAAATGAAAATGTTTTATGTTTTGAGTAAATTATGTTAGCAAATTATGGACAACTTTTTTTCAATTCAGGTGGAATTTTTAACTATAACATTATAAAATTTCGCATAGATTTAAATGTTTTTTTCGCCCTTAAAATTGACGCAAAAATTACACCAACTTTAGATGTTTTTTTATTGATGTTATTGTTGAAAATATTTATTGTATTGTGTCACACTGTATCTTGTATGGCATTGACAATTCGATTTTTTTTAATGGCAGTTTATTGACTAAAAAATCATGATTGGAAAGTTAACGAAAAAATTCAAAGTTATCCATTCTATAAGGCCAAAATTGACTTTGATTCCCAAAAAACGGATCAAATATGAAAGAGACAACACCCCGCAAAGATGGTCTAGAAGAATAAGGTCTCTGCCGCCGATTCCCTTTGATGTCTTAAGTCCTACCAGAAAAGTTAAAAAAATAAAATCGGAACCTGCAGATGAAACGGATAAAGTGAAATGTTCTAAATCATTCCAAAAGAGAAAATTGTTAGTATAAAAAATTTACTTAAAGTTATTTTAAATTTAAATGATATAAAATCAAATGATTTGTTATTGTGGTCATTTCAGTCTGTTTTTTTTTTTAGCTATTTATTCAATTTTAATTCTGACCTATTGAGGTTAATTTCATATTAAGTGACGTCATTATCTCGACCTTTAACCACTTTACCCACAATTAAAGTAGTTTTCACTTTCTAAGTACCTATGTTACATAGGATAATTTTTAACTGCATAATTTTAATTAAAGAATAAAAGTCCAAAATCAATACCATCTTCGTCTGTAATACATAAAACCTTAAAATAGGAAAACAAATAATATATGGTAACATACAATTAACAAACGTGTCAATAACTGATCTGTCTGAGTTACAAAGGGCAACACACCTTCTTTTCAATCATTACCTAAATCTCAAGTTCTAAGACCTTCCACCTATTCGAAAGGCACCCTCATCACTATACCAAACCAGCTGTCGTCTTACCCAACAAAAATCTTTTAAAGTTGCTCTCATAGATTTTTAATCATTATTTTCAAAACCGACATCTTGGTGAGTCTATTGTTCTTTTCACTCTTCCCAAAGTACAGGGGTTCTACCTTTTCCACCATATCCAGATGCTAAAGACCAAAGTTTGATTACCTCCAGTTGTTGATTTACTATAATAATAATAATAATAATTTGTTTATTTGCAAAAATACACACAATAATCAAGAAATACAAACAAACAATAAATAACCACAAAGTCAGAGACTGTTAAGTATAATTTTATAATTAAATTACCAAGATTAATGTAATTAATAAATACAGTAATAATAACAACAACAATAATAATAATATTTAGTAATAATATTGATGGCAATAATAACATTAATTAATAAGACAAGAAATTAAAATGAAAAAATATACATAACTTTTAGATTTTATTAATATGTTAGATGATGGTGGGTGAAGTTTTCATCACCTGTAAGTCAAATGGCCCCATCAAGCATCTTTAAGTCGCCCCGGAGCGCCACGGCAAATAATAATATCCGTCCCTTCCCCTACCCCTTCAGGGGTTGAAATTCACTCGTAAGGAGGTGAATTAGGGCGAGTATTATTATTCTATTTATAGACAGTACATATGTTTTTTTAGTCACGTTGTAAACTGAGATATTGACATTGAATTAAAATTTTTTTTGGGAAGTGAATTTAAAACCTTGGGTGCTAAAAACAAATGGCTTTTTTGTCCTACTGTTTTACGGGCTGCTGATTCCTCTAATTTGTTCAATGCCCTGAGTCTTCTTCCATATTTATGTGCTAAATTTTTAAAAAGACTGATTTTTAAAATAATAAATTGCTATTTTAAAGAAAAAGTTTTGTTTAGGATCAAGTACTTCTATTTCGTTATATAATTGGTCAGATGGGTAATTACGTTCTTTTTTTAATATAGTTTTCAAAAACAATTTTTGTATCACTTAGATTTTGTCCATATACATATTAGAGGCACCACCCTATCCTAATATTCCATATGTTATTCTAGAATAAACTAAAGCGTAGTACATTTTTAAATAAGATAATTCTATTCAAAATATGAATTTTTCATTTAGGTAATATTATACAGGGGTAAATCAAAATGTTTTTTGTCACAACTTCAAAATACCTTGTAGCAAAATTGAGGAGGATAATTTTGTTTACATACTGTTTGACTGTAATCTCAGATGTATTCCAAACATTTTATTTTTTATTCATTCCATTATCTCATTTCTTCTTTGACCGATAACTAATTCAGTTTGCCAAAGTTGAATGTCCTATGACGTTTTTCTCCAATCGTTATGTTAAAGAAATTCCCATATGGATCCAACAATACTATATTTTTACAAATAAATATTTAGTCTTTTCAGTTTCAGGATAAAGTCAAAACTATTAATATAAATCTCATTAAATGTTGGTCGATTAGCATTAGTTAGGGAAGATGTTATATATACGGTTTTATAAATGTTCAATGATAATTTATTCTTGTCTAACCAATTTTTAATAATACTCATCTCTTTGATAAATCCCTCTTTACATAATCCCATGGGTTATTTTCAAACACTCGAACTTTGTCTAGTGGAAATACATCCAACATATTCAGCTAAAATCTGAAAGCCAACCCTGTCCCCTTAATTAACTTAAAGGTATCTCTTGTAAACCGCAGCCAGTGCCCTCGCCACTGCTTTGTGAAGTTTTACGCCATTGGACTCATATCCCTTCACAAACAACCATACAAACATAAGGCGTTAGTTCCACATCTAAAAATGCAAAGCCGATTGCTGGCTATTTCATTATAATCATAAAATGTAGTGATTAATTCTGGACAAATTGAACAATCAAGTTTTGTTTTATTGTTCCAAGTATTTAATATTTTATTATAATGTTTAATTGTTGAACTTTAAATTTAAAAATGCAGTGAAAAGTAACATTAACGTTCACGTTCCAGTAGCTACATTATGCAGCAGAGATGAGTATCTTGGAAACCAGCGACATGATTACACAGGTAAATCTTTACCTAAATTACAGATCATTTTGATTTATTGTGGTACCATACTTAATGAAAAGAGCACATCCGGCATGAACTTTTAGCCTGTGAATGCTACAGTATCATCTGCATAAGAAATTGTTAAATATTTAAATGTAATGAATTAATGTAAACCATAAATAATATTGGACCCAGAACTGTTCCCCGTGGAACTCCTATTTTTACTGTAACCACATCACTATGTTCATTTCTTATTTTTACTACTTGTTTTCTTTCATTTAAATAGTTTTCAAACACTTAACGATTTATTTAATCATAAGGTTACCATTATATTCTGGGATTTTTCCTATTTTAATTTAATGTTTTATGTCATACAGGACTGAAGATGGCCGTCAGGCCGACACTAGTCGCTCCTATATTTAATAGCTTTATTTGTGGTAACAAACCTGAACAGATTCAGAATTACTAATTCATACTTAGAGTGCATGCCCAATTATCAATTCTGAATTTTTACAGGGCGCGCAATACCTATTATAGCTCGGTGTTCCAGGTATAACACAAGCGGTTTAAAACCAATAATAAATTTACCGCGAATGCAGAATAGAACCAACAGTTCAGATCTTTTTGTTCTACAAACGCTTTTTAACTACTGCGCCTGCGAAAACGTTACTATTAGTAATAATTCGATTCAGGATTCTCACCACGAACGAAGCTAATATTACAATAAAAAAATTGATGTATTGATTTTGAGCTATTTATTCTATTGAGTAAACTGACCACATTTGAGATATAATTTTAATTTTTTATTAGTGTAGACAGTTCTACTCTAAGAAGAGAACATTTATTCCAAAAACGTGGATCTCTGTTTGACAATGACTCAATTGAAATTGTTAGAATTATTCCAGTTGTGGTTCACGTGAAACGAAATAAAGCACAGCTTAGATCGTACGTATGACGATTTTTTGTTATATTTTCAAGTTTTACATCTGTATTTCAATTGGGCAATCCAAATCACGTGATTTTAAATGGTGGGATTCTTGGCAAAAACAACAATTGGGATCTAAAATTAAGATCGCAACGCCGTCTGTACTTGATATTTGAACTAATTGTTATGGCTTGTTATTGTTTACATTTTTGAGTTTGTAAACAAACGGCCCATAAAAAGTATTTAGTTTATATTGGTGCTCTTTTAAGGAAAACATATTGTTGTTAATTTTTAGTGATTAGACACTTTTATTTCAATAGTTTTTAGGTTAAAGTAAAATGTATATTTTTATTTGGTAAGTACCCCCTATTAATTTTGTTTTTGAATTACTTTAATTCATTTATGTTATCTTTTAATAAAATATTAATGTATTTATTCTATTTTTAGTGAGATGTCTGAAATATGGCTAAGTTTAATAGAACTTATGAAGTATATTGGTTTAGTTGAAAATTCCAGGACTGTTATTAAAGAAGATGCTATTTTAAATGCAGGCCACTAGTTTTCATGTGGAAAGAATGAATTTAGTGATAAACATATATCTGTTTATGCAGTTATTCTCCAAACTAGTGCATTGAATCAGATCCCCATATTGTTGTAGGCCAGTTCTCATTCACAAGATGTTAGAAATTGGTGAATGGCAATGTTCGTTTTAAGCTGGGAACAGTGGACAGTGCAAACATATTTCAGGAGTCCTAATAAAGTGTTCTAGGTGTAGGTATACTGTTTCAAAGAACTATCAAGCTAATTCGATTGAATACCTTATGATTTTGTTCTACACCCACATGTATATTATTTATTCTACGCTCTGACTACATAACGAAAAAGTAGGCCATTGAACGATTATATTTATCCATCCATTCTATGAAGAACACTGTACAGTTATGAAATCCACCAATCACAGTTTATATTTGATCACAAGGATACCATTATTTTTTTAAATTTTAAATGAGTGACAATTCTGTCAAAACTAAGTTTCGGTATATGTTTTAGTTATTTAGATTAAATATAATTACAAATGATTATTGTGCAGAATCGATAAATAATGGCACTACACAAGATATTCTTTCATATTTTCAAATAAATCTAAAATCAATTTATGATTATTAAAAAAAAACATGTGTCCTTGGTAGGGAAGCAGAATATTTATGGCTTCACTTTTATATTTGCTAAACTATTTTATAATCTTCAATGTTCCATAATTTTATTTAACAAGATGTTTTAAAACAGATACAGAATAATTGTCCTTTTAAAATCATCTATTAACACAAGTAGGTACTATTTTTTGTTTGTTTGTTAGTTTTGATATAAAATTTACTTAGTCATAATTTTAATTTGTACTAGTTTTTAGTCTTAATATTTTTATAATATATTATTTAATTCATGTTGCTTATTCTTTTACAAATGTATGACACTTCGCAAGTGTTCTTATTCTCACCTTTTTAATGCATTGATGTTTTTAATGTTTGGATATTGGGTGAATAAATTATATTATTATATTAATAACATAAGTAACTCATGTGATCTCTTCTTTAAGACATTAAATGAAAATGTACAGCTTGAAATTTATGATTGATTTTGTACTTGAGAGAATACTCTTTTTAATAATTATTTTTATTATTCTTAAGTTTACTAGTCATTGTGTACAGTTACATTTTGTAATGAGTGATTGTACATTGATAATGTATTTTTATATATTTTTTATATTATTCTGTAATGGAATAGTTGAGTCTGTTGGTAAAAAGGCTATTATTATAAGCAATAAATATAACAATCAAATATTTTTTTATTTTTCCTGTTAACAAAATATGTCAATGTTTACATAATAATAAACGTTCTTTACAGTTACAATACCCAATAGGCCATCTTCTGAAGTACTTCAGCTAATTTCACTGTATTTTCTAGTACAGTATGTTAAAGTTATTAATGCCAGTGAATGAATAAAACTCTTTGTCAGATTTTAAAAGATCTGAAATTGTTTTAATTTTTGGGGTATGTACTTGTACACTAATGTCAAAACACTTGAAAAAGAGTATTTGCAACCTCTATGTCTTATTTGGTGGAGTAGCTAGGCTATCTTGAAACAAATCACTCTCAACTATGACTTGTTTATTCTCACTATCACATTTAACACTGATTGAACTTTTTTTAGTTTGGATCTTTTTGTTCTATCAATATGTGATTTTAAGGTTTATGGAACAGAATCATCAAACATTTACTTAAAAACTGGTAGGAAGGCACAGCGATTTTTTTTAATATTTATTTTCACTTTGGATGAGGCATCTACAACACAAAAAAAGGTAAAATAAAAACATTCAATCGAAAAATAAATCTATATTACCTCTAAGCAAATAATTTTATCTTCTTTAAAATGCTGTGCATGGGAACAAACTTTCAAATACTTTAATACTGGCTTCTCAATTTTCAACTTTTATAACCATGCATTTCTTGCAGAATTTCCACTTGCATTTTATAAAAATTAACCTACATTTACCAATTTTAGGAAACAGACGAAATGTAAAAAGAAGGGTCCATTTTTGTTTAGGGCTGCATTGAGGCACACAAGTGTGTTTTTCACTGATATTCCACTTATAGTCCAACTAATATAATATTTATGATAAAAATTTAAAGCATTAGCTTATTATTAAATAAGATATTTGAAACAAAATACTTGTTAAATTTTAAAATAACATTTATTGACATGACCTGATAAATAAAACTTGACAGAACACAGACGGTCAAATGTCATAACTTTTAGTTCACAGTATAGGGCGTATCGCTTATCTTCAGATCCCAATAGGGCAATAGTACATCCTTGACAAAACACTTCTAGTGAGGTTTTTAGTCTAAGTTTGTATTATTTTTTTGGAGTGTAGAGTTTTTCTGTGTATTTAGTTGAAAATTGGCATAATTTAATATCTATTGGGATTGAATAAAAAATAATTGTATGATTTACAATAACAGTCAAATACTAATGAAACAAGTTAACGAACTTTATTGTTTTTGCCATTTTTGTATGTTATGGCAGGACATTGGATTGCTTAAATGACATGTGTATTTAATAGTCCTAGCAGATCTTTATTTGTATTATATTTTTGTCCACTTTTCACCTAAAAACAATTAGAGATATAATCAGGATTGAAACATCATGAAGCCAAATACTAAAGACATTGGTTTGAAACGCAGATTCAGAAACTTTTTTGTTTTATAAATTAAATTATACACATTTGCATTTATTACAGAATCTCAGATGAGACTGAAATCAAAGTGCAGGATAGAAGTTCAAATAAATTATCTAAAAGTTTAAACAGCTGTACATTTCATGAACGATTTAAAGAAGAATGTTCAGATTTAGAGAAAAGATGGTCTCGCCGACTTAAAAGTATGCCCTTTTTTGGAAAATAAATAATCTTTTATTTTTACAAAGCATTTAATTTTCTTTTAACAGCAACAGTATGATCAAATAAAGTTGTATTTTTAAATTCCCCTTTCATATCTATGAGATAATAGAAAGAATGTCCTTTCACTTTTAGAGCTAAATGATTTTTGGCAGATGCTCTTGTGTCTAAGGCGCTAACATTTTTTAAATTCAAAGTAAACATTCTATTTGCAGTTATTGGAGTATAAGTCACTATTGTTAAGAGTTGGCCCCCTTGGCGAAGAATTATATATTTCACTGACCTCAAAGTGTACATCCAAGTTAAAGCTAACACACCCCAACCTAAAAAACGAAAGTACTTATATAACTTGTCCATTTTGTTTTTTTTTTTTATTTTTTTACCTATGAGTCCTGTACAAAAAGTTATTCCATTTCGATACTTATTATCACCTAAGTTCAATTTTTCCCACCACCGGGTAGCTTTGCTATGGTCAACTGGAGCATCTTTTAAAGTTGTATAGGCAGTAATTGATAAATATGTCCAGAAACCAAACTGAACAAAACCTGCTAGATTCATTATTTTAAAATAACGACTATTATCGTGTTTGTATAAAATTACATCTTTGGGTACATTGGTATTTACATCTAGAACTTGGGAAAAATTTCTTTGGAAATAGTTTCGCGGTGAACTGTACTTATTGAAAGTGTTGAAAAATGACCAAGATTTAAACGAGTTCTTATATAAATTATACCATTTCAACATTTTGAAATAGTTTCACTTTCAAATTTTAAAAAATTGAGGTTAGGTAAAATTTAGACAATCATTGCGTTCGGTCTGCCAAGTTCCTTTTACACTTTTAACTCCAAACGACCCTTTTAGCGTTCGGTTTAGTCCGATTAGTGACAGTTTAACACGCTGGGGCCTATTCAGTAACTCTGAACGACGTCGTTAATAGACGATAATCGTTCACAGACGACTTTTCTTATTCAGTAGACAACGATTGTCGTTGAAAATAGACAAATATGGTTGTAAAATTGTCGTTCATCAACGATAGCCAAAGAGCTGTCGTTAATAATATGAAGTGTCGTTATAGTGATTTTTGCATTCCCTCTCATTTTTCATTGTTTTAAATAATAAAAGCACTTTTTTACAAATTTTACAACTAAATTGCCATCTACCTAATACAGCAAGTACAATTTGTAAGGAATTTTTTTCTAATTTATTTAATTATTTTAAAAATAAATCTGATTCAAAGTTAGGATTGCCCACTCAACCATTTACTATTCGATTCTTATTAACAGTGCTGTTCTTTGCGAAACAGTAACAGAACCTATATTATGGAAGTACCTATAATCACAAAGCACGTATCTTCTAGAGACCCCACGCCAATGTTAAACTTTTAAACCAAATTGGCGCCACCTTGTGTTTGGAGCTGGAACTAAAATGACAATTGACAGATGGCGGTAAATTCAAATTGTAATTTTTAGGAGTAGGTAGTAGTTTTAAATTAAATTTTAAATTATTTCCACATAAATTATTTTATAAAATAAAGAATGGAACTAGTAAGTTCGAAACTTTTATTTTACAAATTAATTTAGGTCGATTATACCAAATTTGAGGAATTAATTTGTTATAAGCAGGGGTCTGATGTGAAGAGTTGGTTCTGCATATTATTATTAAATAAATATAAGATATATCAATAAACAATAAAATAGAACATTCTTAAAATATGTTTATTAATAACTTAAATAATATTATTAGATAAAAATAAATACAAATAATAATACATATTTAACGAATACTTACTTGCAGCAAATAGGTATATAATCTCAAATCTTTAAAATACCTATCAATAATTTAAATGTGAAGTAGAGACTAGGATATTACATTTTATTAACACTAAAATAATATATTTTATAAATGTCTTTTAAACCGAGGACAAATGTAATATAGGTATTGTATTAAAAGGTGAATCCTTTTAACTATTCATTCAATGATAAATAGGTATTTTCCTTCCAAATACAGATGGTGGTATTACTCCACTGCTTTGTGTATTACTCTCTTATGTGAAAAATGATTTCGGAATCTAGTCCAGTGATAAATTGATTATCAATTAGTTGTTATACCCGTTTCTTTTTATGATGCAGATGCATGTTGAATCAATGAAGTTTTTCTCGAAGTTTTCAACGTAGCACCCACAGGTAGCACCAAAATTATTGCAAAACACAGTAGGTTATAACTAAGACGAAACTATAAACAGAAACCAAAAGCCAAAGCCAACAAAAAATCACTAAAATCAGACGGAAAAATGAGATTAACCAAAAACATAAATAAATACACGTCACATCTTTGGAGTCTTTGGTTAAGTTTTTCTCCCATAAAGCTTAAAAATGGAGTAAGGAATCAGAATTTTACCAGTAGCCCCATCTAGAGTTTGGAGCAAATAGCATAAAAAATGTCAATTGTCGGTTTTGACCTTGGTCATTCACGTGGAACCTCTATGTGCTTTGTGCCTATAATACTTCTCCGTAACCTACACAAATTTGGTTTGTCTTTCAAATCCAATAAATACAACTTGTACTGTTCTCGAGTTGTTTTTTGTATTCTTATGGAATAGTTCTCAGTTTTTTTTAATATATCCATACTCATTTAAATAAACCCTACATACAATACGACCAGCAAAAATGACCCGCGAGAAACAGAATTACTACTACGAATCGAGAATCGACCCCCTGATCGTGTTGTAGGTTAAGAACAATAATTAATATATTCTGAAAAACAAATGAATATATCTACTGGTAGAATTTTTATTTTACGTTCCAAAAAAATCTCAAATATACCGAGTGTTTAAATTAAAGGGTTACAGTTAAATACCTCCTTTTATAAAAAAAAACAAAGTTTTATAGTTTTTTGGGTGTTACTCAATAAGTAGAAATCCAATAAAAAAATGTTTCCTTTAGAAGTTTCTTATTATTTTATGAAAAAATTGGGTTACAATTAAAAAAAAAAAATCCACCTCGATATGGCCATATTATGGTCAGCTATAAAAAAATTAATTTAGCCAAAATGTTTCCCCTAAAAAACTATAAAACTTTTGTCTGATACTTTTTTTTATAAAATGAATATTTTCGGCGATATCTTTAATTTAAACACCCGGTACAATCATCAACATACGTTCTTTTATCACAAAACACTAAATTATAATACCAACTTACTAGAAATTATCGTTCATGTTTGGTAACTATAGAAACAACGTAACGACTTTGTTATTGAATAGAGTTTCAAAAATTATCGTTATAAAAGTCGTTGGTTGAACTGTCGTTAGCTTAACGATGTCGTCCATAAACGATAAATTACTGAATAGGGCCCTTATTGTATATATCCCAATTTCTTTTGATTTTATATAAAAACTACCTTGATGCCAAAAATATCTTTCATGCATGTATGTCACAAATATGGCCATATGTATATATAGGTGTTTGTGTGTCTCTAATGAGTTGATTTTGGGCATATTCGGAACTTTATAAAGAGTCGTTTTTCTACTTTAAGGAATATATGTTATTTACGCTTGAAGAAAAAAATTCGTCAAATAAAAGTTGCTGGTGATATAAAATTCAATTAAACAAAATGAGAAAAGTATGTAGGTATTTGACTAATATCGAAAATCTTTTACCACAAATGATTGGTTTTCAATTGTTTCTTTTGCAGTATACAGGCCATTTGGGATTTTCATGTAAAATTGGTATTAGCATATACTCTGTATAATCTCATACTATTTGTTATAATCGAAAAAGCGAGGGCAATTCAAATATAAAATAAACTTTCATATGTATCACATTCTTGAAGAACCCTGTATAATTAAATTGTTGGTTTTTGGGACATCTCATTCTGAAAACAAATTTAAAAAAATCAAATGGTTGTGGCTCTACAGATCAAGGCGTTATCAGTGGCCCACCCTGTATATAAGATATTACCTTACAAGGTCATTTTTAATTTGAGTGCAAGAAAAATATGTAGGTATGTTAAAAATGAATTCCGTGAAGCTAATTTTTAAAAATGTCAAATAGACATCTCTATAAAGATGTTTGTTTTTTTAGAGAAAACAAAATCAAAATTTAAAAAAAAAAACATTACATAAATTTAGCCTAAAAAATATTAAAGTTAGAGTATGTATTTATTTTTAAAATTAAAACCAATAATTACCAAAAATGGCAGTGGATTAAATTTCATTAGGAAATAAAAATACTTTTCAAGGGCAACAACCACATTTGTTAATAATATATCGAATTATTTAATTAATTAAATACAAAAACGCTGGTATTAAAATTGTATTTGTTCCGGCCCTGTCTGCTTCAAGAACAACGGTAATGCAAATGACTAACAACGACTAATGTTCTGAAGCGGCATCTGTGAAATTACCTTGAAGTTCTTATTGTACAGAATCCTACAAGCTTTGTATACGGCGTATATCATCTTTCATCTGCGTTGTCCCTAGCCGATTAGGTGAATTAATAATTAGCTTTTATTTCAAACCAAGCTTTCAGGAAAACCAATTATTTTGAAGTGCGATTTGTTTCATTTATTTGATATGCTAGTTGTACGGGTGGTAACGAAAAGAAAACGTCTAAATATGTTTATTTTTAAAGTAAATACGTCGACAAGTCGAGGGTTACTATGTGATTTTGACACCAAGGAACAAAGTCATTTTTCGAGTATTTTTAAAAAACTCTGCTTCTTTAGATTTCTTTACAACCCGTAGACATTATTCATGAACTGATTTCTATATTTAAATTAATGCTACTTTTCCCGAAAGCTTCGTCAAAAGTAACCTCTGCATATACGGGAAATTAACATGGGCGATCGCCGGCCTTAAGCAATTTAAAGAAAGGCGGCAGCACATCGACGCTGAAGGACATGCAGAATTTGATGCTCTATGTAGAACAGAAGACAGAAGTAAAAGTTGGAAATGCTTTTGCCAGTTCTCCCACTTTATACACATAAATTGACAGGTTGGCAGCGGATCTCACCGAAGTGGACGCGACACATTGGCGTACAAAATTATTTTATAGATGTTAATAACAATTTCGAGTAAATAGTTTAATAAATTGTGAATAGCTGTTGAAATTTTGAAAAATTATGATTTGAATATTATAATACATGTTTAATAATTATTTATAATCCATAAATACATGCGATTGTCCGGTTCTGCCGATAACAATTTAAAATTACTGATTCTATGAAACGACACTGGCAGGTAAACATTACTGTGAAATTCTCGGAGCCGCCCGACGTGGTTTGACGTTTACCCCTTCTCTACCTACCAAAAGACTTTTCAACTTTTACTTTCTCTATACCACGACCTTGATATTAATATTCTATTTATCGTCATATTACCCCTGACTAGAAAAAAAAGTCGAAAATAAAATATCTTTTATATTGACTAAAATATAAATGTATTCGAGATGAAACAAAATGATAAAGATTCCTTAAAAAATATATTGACTGGTTTACACAAATTTTATAAAAAAATTTAAAAAGTTATAAAATGAAAATTGAGAAACATTATACTATTAAAAATATTGCGATGAAGGGACATGTAATAAAGGACATTTTTAAAAACAATTCTAAAACTGTTTTTGTGGAAGAGGCAAGGCAGATTAAGAAAGAAATATGTGTACAAAAAAAATTAACCTGAAAATCGCTAAATTAATCAATAACAGTTTAAATTAAATCAGATTTATAAATTTTGAAAAGTAATATTCATTTATTTGGCGTCAAATACACATATCACAAATACTTTAGTACAACAGAATTAAAAAAAAAACAAGGCACATGAAAAGCTAATAGAGAATAAAAAAACTATAAAACAGATTTAGCAAATAATTCCATGTAAAGCTTGATACACTTCATTAGTCCTTAACTGCTTTACGAGTCCGATTCTACTAGAGCCATCACAGTAAAATTAATGTCTTCAGAGTCTCTCTCAATAAATGCAGTGCAGACTTTGGCGGCATCCTAAAAAAAATAAAAATATTTATTTTGTTCTATAACAATGTTGAAATAGTGATATATTAAAATAAGCTGGCAAACAAATGTTATTTTGCAAATTTCCACACTTTTTAATGGTTTTAATTTGTAAAAATTCTCAGAATTACTTGTGTGTAAAGAGTAATTTGTCACAAAAATTGAATTTTAAAGACAAAGAGAATTCTTGCTCAAAAATAAATCATATTTGCAAAAGCAAGACATCATAAAACTTAATTATTTGGCAAGAAGCTACCACACTGCCTTTGAGGCTCTTAATGTTATTTTACTTTTTTGTTAAATTTGTCCATTTATTAAAATAAATAGAGCAGTAATCCAATGGAGTTTAAAGAAAAATATTTTAACTTAGATAAAAAATATATAAAATTTTTTTATATAGCCTGCACTTGGAGCACGACTTGCTGATTGTTGTTGTTTTATGATACATATAAGATGGGTGTAAAACAAGTATTAGAAATTAAAAATTTAAAAAAACCGACTTAAAAAACGTGCAAATGCCATCACCACAACTTAACCAAATTTATATGGGACCACCCCTGAGGTACCCCCTTACTAACAAAGAAATAATCATATAAATTGGACAAGGTGGTAAAGCATTATCGCTAAATATACATAAAAAATGAAGAGTTTGAGGATTTTCTCATGGACTCAATTATTAGATTTTGTCAAAATTTATATGGGACTACCTCTGAAGTACCCTCTTTCTAACAAAAAAAGAATCATTTAAATCAGACACCATGTTAAAGAATTATCGCTGAACATACTTAAAAAAAATATTGTGAGGAATTGAGAACCTCCTTCTTTTTTGAAGTTGGTTAATAAATAGTAAATTAAGTGAAACTCACCTCTAAGAAATTATCTGTTGATGTTTTACCATGTTTGATAGGAAACTCTTTTCTACCATCTAATTCATAGAGTTCGCCATCTTTTTGCACTAGTGCTACAAAATGGTGATTTACTTGTTCATCTGGGTTTACCTGTATAAAAATTGATATAATCTTATTGTATATTTTTTACTTATGTTCTTACTTCTGTTTGACCTTCCATAGCTAATTCTTGATGAGTATTTATTATTTTAAAAGCTATATCCTCAGCCTTAATTAAGATATCTCCCCTTTCTTCAGGGCTCATATTTTTTGACTCGGATAAGAGTTTTTTGAAAGCACCTTCTGCCAAGTTAATTCTAAAACATACTTCATTCTTAGTATCCATACATTAATAATTGCCAGTTTGTTTTATTAATAGATGATAGTTTAAGATAAATATATTTTAACCTGTCATCATTATTTGCAATACTATGTATTAAAGCAATAGTTCCACAAGCATTCGAGACTTTCTGCTTCATGTACCAAAGATTAGAACTAAGCTGCTGTTCTTCTTTTATAAGTCTCTCTTTTTCTTGTTGGGCATACTCATAGTACTAAAACGAATTAAGGGACAACACAAATTTTAAACCAATTTTTAATACCAGTTACCTTATCACTGCAGGGAAATAGCAAAATCAGTGCATACACTGGTCTTGGTACCCAAGCCAAGGCGTCAGCGTCAAGACCATAAACATCCACTATTTTATACTTTTCCGGAACTCCAAGAACATGCATGAACTGCAATTTAGATGCATTAAAATTACAGAAATATTCAGAAGTTTGTTGCTTACCTTGTTCATAACCTAAAATCAAAAAATATTTAGTAAAAATACATTATTTTGTAATATGTTCATTACTTACATCTGGATTAGATTCTAATGGAAACAGAGACATGTCCATCAACTTTTTGCACAATCTGATTGAATTAAATTAAATTTTAATAAGAAATAATCAATATGCTTTAAAAGCCGAAACTAACATATAAAATTTTGACAAGTGACAGCTGACAGCGATAATAACAGGAGTGCGTTTAGAAACCTCGCACGGCGCGTTTCACCACATACATTATTTAGAATAGGGTCCAGACCACTGAACTGTAACTGTTACTGGAACGCTAGTAAACAATAGGTCTGTTCTGGTTTCGAGAAATAACGATCCACAACTGTTGGGCTCATGCGCAGTAGATAAAAAGTGTTCTGGTTTTTCTGGAACTACTTCGGATCTCTCAGTCCAGTGTTCTGGTTTCGTATCCGAAATAATCCGTGATTGTTGTAAACAGTCAAAAAGTGTTCATGCTTGGGAGTGTGGATCGACTCGGACTGTTTTGACCGCGCATGCGTTTTTGAAGTGTTATGAATATTGCATTGGCTTTTTAGACTATACGAAACGTATACAATCCCAAATTGTTTATTTATATGTGGACGAATGTCTCTTGTTCTTGTTTTATTTGTAAATTAAAGCAATTTTAGAATTATTAATTTTTTAATATTCTGTTTTTATTTATTCCATTGAAATGTGATGATAATGATAAACATATACATGCAAATGTTATTTGAAGCTGAGCTTTCAAAAGGAACTTCATTATTATAATAAACAATAAACAAAACACCTTTATGACGTGTTCTGGTTTTCCAAGAATTTCAAACAGTCGGGGATTTTTTGCCTTTACGCATACGGTCCGGCGCAGTTTCAAAACAGTTTTCATTTTGAGAACCAGAACAAACCTATAAGGTCTTTTCCTTTGCATCGAAAGTGTAGCAATGGGCTACACCAATTCTGAAAATATCGTTCCATATATACAAATTGTATGGATGGAACGATATTTTCAGAAGTGACGTAGCTCAGTGCTACACTTTCGATGCAAAGGAAAAGACCTAATACATGCGCGTGAAAATTTTGTGCCATCCATGCAGCTTCGAATGGGGTATATTTATTTTGAAAGTACTGTACCGTAAAGTACGTGCGCTTGCGTATGACTTACATGGTAGCCACATACTTTGATTTTCTTTTACTATACGGAGAATGGTCGCACTGCGCAGCTTTCTGAGTGCCTTTTAAAAGGAGATAGAAAACTCCGCCATTTTGAACCCTTATTACGTGTTGCCTACATCTTGGCGCAATATTTTTAATAGGTGCGTTTTAATCATCCGCTTCTGCTTCGGAATTGTCGGTTTTCTTGTTTTAATCTGACAGGTTAGAACGACTGAACCGACAATTCCGGAAGCAGAAGCGGATGATTAAAACGCACCAGGGGACCTATTTTCAAAGTATGTGAGCACTCATTTCTCTCAAGATTCTCATCAGAAATGTCATACGTCAATGTGGAAACGCTGTATTTAAAGACATCGAGGATTAAAATTCTTAGGAGAATTTTAATTATCTCTAAATAAACCGAGAGAAACAGTCAGTGAGTTCACACTGGCCCTAAGAGCCCTAAAAATACGGTTTTACGTTGACGTATGACATTTCTCTTGATGGAAATGAATTCTCTCGAGTTTGAAAATAGCCCCCCTGATATTTTGCTTGCTGCTGTCAGTGTCAGTGAATATTATTTTTGGAGTCACAGTTTATTGCTAAAGAATCAGTTAGCTCACTCGGATAGTTGAAAGTTCCAAAATAACATCCACTCCAGGGATACAAATTCAGAATACGCAGAAGACTGCTGTTTTATTACAGGCGGTTGTCATATATTGTATTATCTGAGTTGCGCAGTGTATAAACTGGAACATTGAGATAAAAAGTGCCGACGCAGAGTGAGCGATCTGATTCTTTAGCTATAAACTGTGTCATAGGGTTCAAAATGGCCGCGCCCTATGTTGGGCGTGTCGGACCTCTCTCTTGCCCCGTATAGTAATCAGGCATTGCGTTCGGTCTGCCAAGTTCCTTTAACTCCTTTAACACTTTTAACTCCAAACGACCCTTTTAGCGTTAGGTTTAGTCCAATGAACTGGAGGGGGTAGAATGCCAATGTACATGTTGTACTATTAGAACAAGGTGCGACTCGATGGGCGCAGCCATTTTTATTGTCCATCTCACTCGGGACTATTTATAATAACCATTTTCTGTTTCACATTGTTATTGTTCAATCCACAAGCTGGTGGATCAGACAATAACAAAGTGAAATAGAAAATGGTTATTATAAATACTCCCGAGTGAGATGAAAAATAACCTGTCTTCGCCCATAGAGTCGCATCTCAAGCCTATTGACAAGCATTCTACCCCACTCCAGTTATACGGACCCAGGTAGCCATTTTGTTTGAAATGCCTATATTTTTTGTTCTGTGTATTTTTTAAGGTTATAAATAGTTCAAAAAATAAAATATTTTTTTTTTAAATAAACTAGAACACATAATTGACTTAATAGGTAAAGTAAATATAATGATAAGAGCAGTTTTAATAGATCTTAGTGGAACTCTGCATATAGAAAATCAGGCAATACCAGGCTGTATAGATGCATTAAAAAGGTAATTTAAATTTTGGGTTCCAGTACGTCGGAATTTTGAAAATAATAATTTAAACACTAAGAAGAAGTTCCCATTCTGTATTCATTTCTAAAAAAATGCGGCTGATTGAATATTTTCTTAAAAAAATTGGTACCTGAAAGTGGCAAGATTTTGATGTTTTTAATGTCTTATAATTTTGTTTTGCAAAGAGTTTCAGTTAGCAACTAGGTAAAATATGCGAATATTAACAAGATTCAAATAGTCTTTAATTGTAGATTAATTAATTAAAAAAAAAAAAAAATAAATAGGGTAAGGAAAATCTTTATAATTTACTGTAAAGTTAAATTCCATTTAATTAAACATTAAAAAATTTGATAACTTCACAACACAAAATTATAAACAATCATTGCCTCTTTTATTATACTCTCTATTTTGTGTTTTAGAGTTCAGTGAATACCGTAATAAGCAAGCGTTTTGGAAATAATGGTCAATGTTGATATAAGGCAAATCGCCTATAAAATTGCACTTTTACAATTTTTCTCAAAAAATAGTCTATTATAGGCACGCATTTTTTTATAAGTGTAAAGAGTACCTAAAGCATTCTGGAACCAAAAGAGGTCTTAATCAGTAGTACTCTATTGGCCATATTTAGTATTTTAAAGAAATACTGATTTTAGACTTGTACAGAAAAATTTATACATCAGATATGTAACAAACACAACAAAGGAAAGCAAAAGGGTATTACATGAAAGACTAGTAAATCTGGGTTTCGAAATAAATAAAGATGATATTGTGAGTTCTTTGGGTGCGGCCAGAATTCTCATTGAACAAAGGAAATTGAACCCTATGTTAATGCTTTCTCCAGAAGCCTTAGAGGACTTTGAATCTGTTGGTTCCCCAACTGAAACTCTAAATGCTGTTCTCGTAGGTTTAGCTCCAACAGAATTCCATTATGATCGACTAAATGAGGCATTCAGGTAAACAAAATATCAAAATAAATCAATTTCATTTTAACAAAATATTTTTTTTTTCTTAGACTTCTTCAAAATGGAGCTCAGTTGATAGCCATACATGCAGGTAAGTATTATAAACAGCCTGATGGTCTAGCATTGGGCCCTGGGTGTTTTGTAAAAGGATTGGAATACTCTGCCCAATGCACTGCAGAACTAGTTGGTAAACCAAATAAGTCATTTTTTCTATCTGCTCTCAATAATATACCTCCGGGGGAAGCTGTTATGATAGGAGATGTAAGTTTTTTTACTGTAATCTTTTTAATATTGGTTTGTTTAATTAATTAACCAGCATTTTTGAAAAACAATAAGAATTCCAGATGCCATTTTACGGAAGAAAATTTTGTCTGCTCTGCACTATCCAAAAAATGCAAAACTGTGCTATGATAATATTAAAATCTTCAAAGTACACTCCTATAAACAGTATGTTAAATGTTCTACATTGGCTTCCAATAACAAAATTAATGCTATATTACACATTAATGTTTATTTTCAATGTCAAAATTGGACATGCACCAGTGTATTTGCAGGATAAGCTGTCTAATAGTATTGATGTACATAATTATAACACAAGAAATAAGGATAATTTCAGAATTCAAAGATGTAGAAACAGCAGTACATATATAACTCATTATGTATTTCACAAAGGTATAAATTCTTTTAATAATTTATCAGAATATATCAAAAAAAAGTTTGTCATTGAATATTTTCAAAAGAAAATTAAAGGACTATCTTATGTTATAATAAGCTCAGTGTGATACTTATATTAGTGTAAATTTGTTTACTTTTAAATTTAATTTTTGTTTTTGTGTAATGTACTTTTTATAAAAAACCTCCATATGTTGTACTATTTATTACTTTATATGTGAGTGGAATTAGTTTGTAAAACCTCTTATTATTGTACTTGTACTATTTCTTTTGATTAGTTTGTAATATATAAAGATAGAAGGACTTGAACCCATTGCTAACTCTAACCATACATAATTATAACCAAGTTATTCCATATAAAACATGGAATAACTGTTTGGGGAAACTTTTGCTAACACTAGATTAGGGGAATTCAATAGACCAAATTGCTATACACTTATAAAAAAAATATCGTGACGAATTGATAACCTCCTCCTTTTTTGAAGTCGGTTAAAAAGCATAATAAACTCTCTCAATATTAATTTTTACAATCATGTTAAAGAATTAAAGGCTCTTCTATAAAAAAAAACATTACTTTTATTTGGACGCCGAGTATTTATATCTTCTGTATTTTTTTTTGTTCTAATTTTGTAATTTATTTTTAGATATTGAGTGGCATGTCAATTTTTTATAAAATTGTAATTTTGATGAATAAACTTAAACTAATAAAGATAAAATGCAACATAAACGATAATAAAAATCCTTTGTACCTACATATTGTTGATTTGTCTCATGAAATGGTCTAAATAGATATATGTAATATCATCTTTCTATTGTAGGATGTTACTGATGACGTTCAAGGTGCGATGAATGCAGGCCTACGAGGATACTTAGTTCAAACAGGAAAATACAAACCTCAGGATGAGAATAAAATAAATCCCCCACCGACAGCAGTGTTTCCAAGTTTCGTGGAAGCTGTAGATAAAATTCTATCACAGCTCTAAATATATTTAATAATTAATTGTACATATGCCGCGTTTGAATATCCACATCTACTACATCTACATCTGCGTTTGTTTATCCGAGATGTAGCTATCCAGATTGCATTTTTTATATCTCGATTTGAAATGAGATGTTCGTTCCATGCCAAAAAGTAGGTGTTCTGTGAAGCCAAGTTTTTTGATTTATCCTTTGTTTATGCTTGTGTGAATATAAAAGTGATTAGTTTGTTTAATGTTTGTTTAGATTTCAAATTTAGGTTGCTTCCTAGTCTCAAAAGGCAAATTTAAAAAGTATAAACTTCTAACTTGTCATTGTAATTTTATCACGTGACCAATAAAGTCTAGAGTGTTCGTTTATTACATCTACATTTACTTGATAAAAAATTCACAACATCTCAGATGCATCCGATGTGGATATTCAAACGCAGCAATAGTTTGCAAAAATAAAAGATATATCCATAAATTATTATATAATATAAATATATGTATATATAAAACTAACATAGAAGTATCAATAATAAATATATAAAATAATATGTACTGTAAAAATATTGTTTATATACGTCTATTGTTTGTATTTGGTTGCGAAGGTGGACGCCTGAAAGAAATACAAATTATTAGTATTAGGCATTTCAATGACCTGTCAAAATACTGCCAGTGGGAACTGACAGTTTAGATATGGCAACCCCTATAGGTCTGTTGTTATTGGCAATGTCAATGATACATATATAAGGTTATTTCGTTCTTCCCACTGGTGTAGGAATGAACTGCATCAACGGACACTAAACCTTTCGTTTGACCCGGTGTAAAACCCACTATACCTTCCTGTCGGCGATGTGGTGTCCACTGGTGAATATTTTCTCCACCAGCTATTTAGCAGGAGTGAATCACACTCGACATGTGTAAGGAATAAGGAGAAAGTAAACTAAGGTAAATAAGGTGGTGTAACCAATGAACTGGAGTGGGGTATAAAGCCAATGTGTATTTTGTACCAATAGAACAAGATGCGACTCTATGGTCGCAGCCATTTTTATTGCTCATCTCACTCGGAAGTATTTATAATAACCATTTTCTGTTATTGTCCAGTCCACAAGCTGGTAAATCAGAAAATAACAATGCGAAATAGAAAATGGTTATCATAAATACTCCCGAGTGAGATAAAAAATAACCTGTCTGCGCCACTGATCTATATTATTTTACTGTATAGGATATAGGCTATAATTGACATACTAAAAATACGTTCCACCAAGGAGGCCGGAAATGCAACACTGCTGGCCGATTTGGACAAATTAAGGAGGAGGCGATAATAGTCCGACGGTGATCCCTACCGTGCGCATGCGTATCTTGCAATGATGCCGGATCTCTTTGCCTCATAAGTCATGTATCACAGTGCTGTATTCTGTCAAAGAAAAGAATTAGAATGTTTTCTCGTGTTCGTTTACTTATAGAGAGAAGTAAAACTATTTTTTCGTTTACATTTGTGCCCATTTAGAGCCATTTATACCGTGTTTATTCTTGTTGGTGATTTTTATTAAAATGAGTGTTATCTGCAAATATTGTAATAAACTTTTTACGCTTCAGAGCAATTTGAATAGGCACTTGAAAAATGTTCATAACCGAACAGAGACTAACATTATTTGTTATGAATATAATATACATTCAAATAAATGTTTAGAAGGATGCCATGCATCATTTATAAATATTATGCAGTTAAGACAGCATTTTACACAGGCACACAAAATAGATTTTGAGGAAAAAACTTTGAACTTCGGCAATATAGAAGGTGTGTATATTGTTTTTTTTATCTTATTTTCTTTTGTTAATTCATATATTTTGTTTTTAGAATTCGAAAATTGGCTTTTGGAATTAACTAAAATTAATAATGTGCGATATGTCAAACAAAAGACAAAAAAACTGATGCAGTGGATATTACTTATTCCTTTGAATAAGTAACAAAGATAGGGGTGTACTTAGCAAAAGGATTGGTGCCATTTAGAATGTAGTTCATGAAAAACTTAAGTGGACATGTGGTGGGGGTTACAGTATGTCTATTTTATGTATTAACATAAATTATTGTATTTGCTGTCTCTTTTTAATAATTCTAACGAAACTTATAATAAGTAAAAAGTTCAAATATGACTTGATTCCCGCCTGATTCTTACAAGCTTGAAAAATAGACAACCCTGTAAAATGAATCGCACATGCGCCTGATAGAGATCACCGTCGGACATTTATCGCTTCCTAAATTAAGGCGGGATAATTTGACATACCTAACCTATAATTAATTAGTTCTACTTCTATTCCTTTTGCGGGCAATGTCCTTCGGGACAATTCACCCATAATTTGATTTTTTATGGAAGAAAATATAAAAATGGAAACGTGAAGCATATTGTGACTTCACGAATGAACGTTTATTGTTTATATCATAGTAATGCTATCAGATATTGGGGTCTATTCTGTAACAATTCCTTTATATTTAACGGCCTTTAAAAATATTGGCGACCTTTAAAAATATGTTTGTATTCGTTAATTTACTTCTGTCACTATTTAAACAGATTTCTTTAAGATAGTCCTCTAATGTATTTTAAAGATCCGTTTAAATAATGACGGAAGTAAAGAAAAAAATATTTTTAAAGGCCGTTAAATATAAAGGAATTGTTACAGAATAGACCCTACTATCTACGTAAATAGCAGATAACGGATCAGTTCTAAAGTACTATTGTAACGAAGTTACTTTTATTTAATTATTTGAGAAACAGCATTCGTTGGAAAACCGAATTTAACATTTTATTTAATTTCAATTACTTGACGTTGGGTCCTTGTATTAAGATATAACCAAGTTGCTTTTATTTATTCCTTTGAGAAACAAATAATTTATCGGAAAGCCGGATTTTAAATTATGTTTACTAATTACCATTAAAACATACGTCGAAATTCGAATGTTCGAGCGAGTTTTAAGTTTAGGCGATCCTGTCGTCAACATTTTTTATTAGTAAGGGTTAGGTATACGGTAGCTAAGACAACGCCCCCTCTCCTACAATTCAGTCAAGTTGACGCATCGGCGCGCTGGCGACCTATAAATGATTCATACAAAGCGGGATATCGGCAGAAGTGACAGATAGCGAAACAGGCCACGGAAGTTGACCAGGCAAATGTGCCAACAACATCTAAAAGGCCCAACATTAGAAGGGTCACCTCGGAAGAGGAGATTGACCTAATGTCAGACACAGAAGTCAAATTCTTTGTCATATCCGATCGAACGAGAGCAAGGCTAAACAACCTGGTAAAATCGGTCCAAGATTTCATTGCTGCCAAACGAGGCATAATCAAGGAAAACTTTGTCAGATCTCAAGTTAAGCCACCTCAAACTTCGACTACCGAGGCCAGCCAGGTCCAAAAAAAGACTACAAAAAGGCCAAGATCGGAAGGACATACTCCCCCTGCAGACCGGAAAGTGGAAAAGACGGCCAAAATTGAAAAGGTAACCTTCAAAGAGGCCCATACCACTACAAAGATCGCAGTGGTGAGAACCGGCTTTCCAGAGGCAGTTATGGAAACGGAGCAGCAAACAGTTGTCGAAGATTCAATTATAAGTGCCTACGAAGGTATCCCCATGGGAGGGCCACAGATGCGTTTTGCCAAATGCACACAGGCCGGTATACATTGTAGTACGTTGTGCAGACAGCCTAAGTGCACAATGGTTAAAGGACGTGGTGCCCACGCTTAGGCCCTGGGAGGGTCGGCAGGACATCGACATCTCAAAACAAAGGATATGTACACGTACATAGCAGACGAGGGTGGAAAGAGGCTAGATGCCCAAAGAGTCCTTAACAGACTGAAGGTCAGCAACAACACCCTTAAAATCAACCTCTGGAAGGTTCTGACCCCAACTCCAATGGAGAAAGGCCAAACTTGGGCCATCTAGTCAAGTGGGATTCCTCAAAAAAGACACAACACTAGAGGAAAGTCTGGAGATACTAACTCAGGTGCACTTTCCGGCCTCAACTATCCTAACAGGACTAGACTCAGGAGACCAAGAGAGCTACAATCACAAGGGGATCAGACCAGCTCCAATAGACTGGAAGCTGGCCTCCGAGATCACAAGACCACACAGGATTAATTAGGCTATCAACAAATTTAAGGCATACAAATCCCCGGTGCCGGATGAAATATATCCAATTCTGCTCCAGAAGGGTAAAGATGTGTTAATGCCACATTTATGCAAAATCTTCAGAGCATGTATTGCCTGGAGATATATCCCAGCAATATGGCAAAAGGCGAAAGTAGTCTACCTTGTCAAAGTGGGTAGGGTCACAGACCAAACGCCAAAGTCATATCGCCCCATATAAGCCTATCCTCCTTCCTACTTAAAACCGAAGAATTTCCAGCTTCAAAACATCGTGGATGCTTTTTCCATTTCTCCCAGTGCATCTTTAGAAGGACTAAAAAACCAGTACGAAACCGATGTAGAATTTGCATTAAAACTTAAATTATTGCAAGCGTTGGCATTTGTGCCAACAATAAATGTAATCGATGCCTTCGAAGCCCTTTGTGAGGAGAATATGCTACCCGAGGATGCCCAGTCAATTGTTGACTACTCGAGGACACCTGGATTGGACGCCCGCAAAGAAGTCACCGTCGTCGCGCACCAAAATTTCCTTTTGATATGTGGAATTGCTACCAGACTGTGATAGAAGGACTGCCAAAAACAAATAATTCCATTGAAGGATGACATCGAGCTTTCTGCAGACCATCCTAATATATGGAAATTCGTAAAAGCTTTACAGCGGGAGCAAAGCGTACATGAGATTCAGATAGAACAATACGCAGGAGACCTAGAAGGCCCGCCTCAACGTAAAAAGTACCGTGATTGTGCTGAACGAATATCACCTCTTGTAAGTATGAAGAGGGGCCCCTGTCTGCTTACTTACATGGTATAGCCCACAATCTTCATTACTGAAAAAGGATTTATGGATAACGACTTTTTTGTATAACAAACAGTTCTTTTTAGAATCACAATATACATTTGATATGATAGAAAGAATATATTTTTTTAATGTAATATATTTGTCCAGGAATTTTTCAGCCTGGGAATGTTCCAATCGGGAAATTTTGCAGTCGGGAGATTGTTATCGGGGAATTTTCCTAGACCCGTTTGCGCGCGGCCATATTGCCTGGCAAGTGTTCTTTAATTTAAATCGGTTTAGCAAAAATGTATTTTAGAACTAATTTCCAGCCTTTGAATATAAAAAAATAATTACCTACATTTTTATTTTAAGGCAAAGGCTTATGTTTATTTTTAAAAACATGGTTGATCAATCTATATTACTATCTATATCATTAACCCCATCAAATCACCA